GGTGTGGGGGTGGTAGGGGGGCCAGAGGGATGCTGGAGGGACTGGCTTCTGCCTCAGGAAGTCTGGGACTCAGAGCACCGGGGTCTGTTTCAAGTCAGCACCCAGGTGTTTCCCGGGTGGGTTGCCCATGGCTTACACTTTGGAAATCACGGGCTATATTCAGACAACTGGCCCTGGGGCCCTGGTCCGGGGCCAGGGAGAAAAGATGGTGTAGCTCAACATGGAGTCGGAAAGACCCGGGTGCCAGTCCCGCGGTGGCATTGGCTGGCTGTGTGCCCTCGGGCAAGTTGCTTTGCCTCTCTGTGCCCCAGGCTCCTTGCGGGTAATACTGATGTTTCATTTCCAAGGTGGTTAGAAGCTCGGGAAAACATCACCAGTTGTGATGCCTGATACAGAAGAAGCACAAGTAACATCATTCCTGTCTTTGTCCCTCCACAAGGTGCTTTTGTCCCCTTTTGTTAGCGAAATCACAATAACCATATGAATTAGTCAGGTTGGCTTAATCATCAGAGATAGAAGCCAACTCAACTAGCTTGTCCTTAAACAGAAGAGGCTGCTGCCAAAGGGCCCAGCACTGAAGGAAGCAAAGTGGGTGCTGGCCAGTGAACTTTCTGTCTCTTCCTCTTTATCCGTCGGCCTTGTTTTCTCTTCCTGCTGCTGTGGCATCTCCCAGAGGCCAGGACTGAGGGTCTCAGAAGCCCCTGCTCAACCACCTGGGGAGGGAAAGCCACTTTCTCCCTGGTGACTGTAGCTCAGTCCCAGGGAAGGGCTCTGATTGGTCGTGCTTGGGTCATGTGCCCATTCCTTGGCCAATCACACTGGCCTGGGGTAGAGTATTTTAAATGGCCAGAACTATGGCCATAGCGGTACTGACAATGATCAGAAGAATAAGGAGCCCTCACTGGACAGGAAAAAAAGCAACCGATACAGGATAATTTTACAAGAGAGGGGCCCAAGCTATTCAGCTGGACACCTGGTAAAGCCTTCCCTGCTGTATGCAGCTACTCATCCCCAATTCTCCCTTCTATAACCAGCTCAGGTGTCCCTCTATCTCTCTGCACCCCATTGACCCGGACAGCACCTTCCACACTGAGCCTGCCCCTCCTCCGAGATCCATGAGGCAGAACCGGACTCCGCACCCCCATGGCCTGATGCCCGGCCTGGGCTGGATAGGGCAGCATCTGAACCCATCTTCAGAGCCAGCATCCTGCATCCCCTCCATGGCCTCCATCCTACCCCGCCCCTTTCTCCACCTGCCCCAGCCCTGCCTTCTCCTTGGGGACATCTGAGCGCTGTGTCCTCAGGATCGGGATCGGGATTGGGGCAGACACCCAGTCCTTCCTTCCTCCTGCGTCCCGAGGATCTGCCTGGAAGCGTCGAGGGGCTGCCATCCCAGGTCACATGGTCACTTCGCCTGCCTGATGATGCTTTTCCTTTTTTCCGCTCGTCTGGGAAGCTGGAGGCTGAGGCCCTTCACAGAGTGACGGGGCTCTGTACGTGCTGTGCCCCATTCTGG